ACACACACACCCCACCCACCCCAAAAAACGTTTTCTAAGCAGAAGGGTGGGTTGTAGTCACGGTGCTTCACCGTTACATCGCTTTCTTATGTGTACAGGGCAAGTTTTAACGGCCCGCTACATCTTCGAGTATGTTCTTCAGCAAACCGCAAGACTGGAATGGTCGCGCAACCCGAGCGGCCCGCGCGGAAGTAGTTAACACTCACATTCATCGTTTTAGAACCGTAGAATGTTGTGTTTTGCCTCAATAACACATTCCAGTAAAGCTGATGTGCAGGAGAATGCGCAGAACAAGAAACCTGATGTTGGCATGTTGTTAAAGGATGGTGATTTCCGTTTTGTTGTTCCCCGCATTTATTTTCAGATTTACTGGTATGTTTTGAGAAAACTCGGTATGTACGATTGGGTGGAGGCCCAAAAAACACGTTTTTACCGTACCACCGTAGATTCGATTTAAGATAACGTCTGGTTAAAGCGCTGGTATAGGGGTCAAAACTGACAGCTTCGTAGCACGAACACCCTATTAGGTACGCGGTTTTATTTTGGATCAATTTAAAGAAGAGTTATTTAAAAATGAGTATTAAAATGAAGCGTTGTCTAGGTTGATACGATTTGTGAAGCACGGCCACAGTTTTTTTTTGTATTTCTTGATATGGTCGTTTGCCAGATCGGCGACTCGGCGTGCTGGCTGATATGTCCAAGTTCGGCGACCGCTTTTTGACCCGCCTTTGTTACACGGATGCGTCGAACATCTTATCTCGTCGACCTTGAGCGGTGTGATGGCCACAATTCCTCTGCGTGGTGCTAACAGACAATGATTTTTTTTCTAGATAAGATAGATGCAACACTTACCCGTCTGAGGAGGGTGTATCGATTCTGTAGAATTTATGTAAAAGGTCGTGTTTGCCGGCATGGTAACACGCACTGCACAAATCGTAATCTGAACATGGCACGCATTTCCATCGGATTCCTTTTAGTGGGCGGTCATTGCATTCATCGCAAATGACATTATGGCTGACACCTGAAAACAGCAGGGAAATATGCGCAACATTGGCTGATCTGCGGAGGATTTAGTCCTGAAAGGTGACAAAATCGCTAGGCCCATCCGGGTCTCTATGATTAAGTCCCACATGTTTGAGGTATGTTCGGAATACAGTATTGAAACTTTCAAGGGAACTCACCTAAGTGTTAGTCCCCGTTTTTGTTCCGCGTTGGGGTCAGTTTGTATTCGGCCTTAAATCGACATATTAAAATAATTGAATACGAACTGTGCATCATTTTTGGATTTTTCGGGAAAAATACGATTTTTAGTCATTTTTGGAGGAAATGGATTTCCCCTATAGATACTGATAGAAATTTGGGCACGAATTAATTTTCACTGTCAATCGTTTTGTATAAGGTCACTCTATAACCCCCAAGGCGGAGGCGGAACACAATCGGGGACTAACACTTATGAGTGCCCTTGTTAGCCTTCTCTCGTTGAAGTGTTACACATACTGCAAGATACATGTACGCCAGATCACATCTCGCTTAACAGGCTTCGTGATATGGGTGGATTTGAAAATTGTGTCAAATTCGTGTCCCTGGACCTTTTTTTTTTTGAATGCGAGGCACACGAACATCGTTCGGAGTCGAAACGCATGCAGAAGATCGAGATGGACTAGGAACACACCTCAGTTTCGTCAATTCTGACACCAGCAGGTCACGGGGATGACAGGAAGGGCCAAAATACGGGTGTTTGGCGTGTCCCAGCTTCCATTTTTGAAGTTTAAAGCACTCGGATAATTAGGGGGGGGGGCGTAAAGATCAAAACCAAAAAATAGTTCATTTGTAGAATGAATCAATAATCATTTTAAGCCAAAGCGCGTTCAGGAATTTCAAAAATTGGTGAAGATATAACAATATGAATGTCTGTCCCCAGGTTTTTGAACTTTCCCGTTTTAAAAACATAAATCAAGTTTAAAAACTTGTCTTTCTGTATAGAAGTACACTCTTAGTTAAAAACAACTCCTCAGACCATACGCTTCGAGAATCAATACGGGTCAAACCTCCCGAACAAGTTTAAACATGTTTTTTCTACAAACAAGAGAGCGTACAAAGCTGAAAAATAGCAAAAGTCGGCAAGAAAGGGGGGGGGGGCCTCCAATAGCTACACTCCTCAGGGAGTCACGGGGATGACGCAAAGGGAATGACCACAGGGAATGACCACTAGGAATGACCAC